CCGTCGTTCTGGTTTGGGGGTGTGACATCAAATGATGGTCGATAACTTGGTGGTGATGGAAGGTTTGGGGTGGAAGGTTTGGTGATTGAGTGTTTGGAGGTGGAAGGTGTAGTGATGGAAGGTTTGAAGATTTCTTTTTGTTGGTTCTTGGGGTATTTTTTGCTTGATATGAAGACATGTTTCGTTGGTGGATTGAAAGAGTTTATGAGAGATATGATATTTTGTATGGAAGGTTCTGTTGAGTTGATAATCAAGTGAATTTGGTAGAGTTCATCAACCTCGATCATAGTTGAAGACTTTCTTTTCCAGGCCGCATTGATATGATCAATGTAATTCCTTTCCGCTATATAGGCAGATTTATGTTTCTCCGAAGCAAATAGGTATGGGAATCTATTGGAGAGTGTTGAGCTTCTAAACCATACATCTGTCCAAAAGCAAGTGTGTTCTCCATTACCTACATTCACAGAAAACATATTACTCAGAGCAATCCCAAGTGAATCTATATCTCCCGTTACCTTAACAATGTTACCACATACCCCGTTTAAATTGTTTTTAGATAACGATGACAATGGCTTCCTATGGATGTTATGTATTCCCATAATGACAGATTTCAATATCGAGTTCTGGGGACCTTTTAGCCTCAAGATCCATTTCATTATAAGTGCACAATTTAGGATACGTAGTGATCCCACACCAAGGCCTCCATTTTCTTTTTTAGCTTGTATGTTTGTCAAAGCTACCTAATGGATTTTATTTTTTTCCTCATTTCCACCCTACAAGAATCTCCTTCGTGTTTTCTCCTACGATTCAATCACTCCAATAAGTGATTTAAATATGGAAAAGAAATAAAGTGGAAAGCTTCCCATTACCGACTTCACAAGGGTGAGAAGTCCGCCGATAGATAGAGTATTTTCTGTCCAAGAAGAAAGCCTAGTTTGAATACGATCAATAATAGGTTTCCAATTTTTAATGAGGTTCATATTAGCTCCGACCGGGACCTCCAAGTAGGTGAAAGGAAAAGCTCCTACGTCGCATCCAAGTATACTAGCGCTAGATGTCAGTTCACGATCGGATACACCAATTCCAAACACCTTTGACTTAAAGAAGTTTACTTTTAAACGGGAAGAAGCAAGGAAACAACGAATAATTATAGCCAAGTTTTTAAGATTTCCTCTCGTCCATTCACCAACAAAAATCGCATCATCGACGTAGAAGAGGTGAGAAAGGCTAGTATTACTCTTCGGGATGTTAATTCCATGGAATAGATCTTTATCGCAAGCATCCTTCATGGCAATATTTAGACATTCCATTGCTATTGTAAAGAGGAACGGGAAGAGTGGGTCTCTCCTTAACGGACTCCTGTAGAAAGGGTGAATTCCTTTGTAGTAGAACATTCAACAACACCAAGGCACGGGCAAACGCAAAACACCCTGAGTTCCAACTTCTCCATTTAATTCCAAACCCCATTTGACACACTGAGTCAATATATACCCAATTGATCGAGTCAATTGTCTTGTTGAAATGCACCTTTATTAGAAACATCTTTTTTGTTTTTTTCTCAAGAACATATTTCATTGATAATAAGAGGTCCATCAAGTATCCTCAAACTATGAGATGTGGTCATGACATCTCCCTTTTACCTTTATTTGTCATGTTCGTTTAAAATGCTCGTATTTTTTTTTTTTTTTGTTGATTCTTTATCAATTGCCATAATTTATTTTCATTTAGTGATTTCCCAAACCTGAATTTCTTTGTCATTTGGCTTCATATTCTCACTTTTTATTTATATAAGTCCTTGAGCTTCATTTTTTTCACTTGAATGCCTTTATCATTTAGCTTCGTACTTTTAACTGTGACAACATTTGATGGCAATACATACATTTAACGTTGGTGATTTCAAGATGTGTGATTTTTACGATGACAACTGTCTTCTTAGAAATTAGAGAGGAAACATGGTCATATTTAATAATCACTAAGGTTATTGGGATTTGAAGGATCATATAAAGTTTACTTTATGTAATTTATATTTTGACTCTATGACTTAGTATCACAAAATTTAATATGGGATAATCCACCATAGGAACTTTTATATCGAGAACAAAAGCAAATCAGTATATTATTCTTTTGGTAGGATTGGCTAGGATCTTCTAAGAGATCCAAAATTATAAGTATATATACTTATTATCCAAAAGACTAAACTGCTGTACAGATGGTTCATGTTGTTTGTTTAAAATTGTTATTTTAGTCCAAAAAAGTTTTGAATAGACCATAGGTTTAAAGATTTTGATCCAATTTAACTTATTTAAAATGACGGATTTACCATTGGTACTTACTTTTTCTATTTTTTATTTATTTAAATGTTTTTTTTGATTAAAAGAACAATAAAAAAGGAATCTCTCTCTCTGTGGACGCAAAGAGTACAGAACAATCACCATGTTCATCTTCTCTAACTATCCCTCCCAAAAACCCTAAAATCCATAATCAAACCCACATGGTGGCTGATAGATACGATGAAAAATCAAAATGCCCCAAATCCTTAATTTTTTTTCTGTTCTTTTGATTTTCTCCGATTTGAATCCTACTGCAAGAATCTACAGGGTTTAGGACTATGTTCAACGAACAGATAGAAGCAATGCGCCCTTCATCTTTCTCCATTAAAGCATTCTACATTCTAGGGTTCGAATTACCCTCTCTTTGTGGTGTGATTTTACCAGATATTGAAGCTTGCCCCCGACAACTTCGATTTAGGTGTGATTAGGGCTCGAAAACCATCAATTGGATCAAAAATGATAGCGTACCTGCAACTCGAAATTCGGATAACGGGAACTGAACATCCTCTCCGGTGGAGATGATGAAAGAAAAAAAATGACGGGTCATTTGATTCCTCGGTTTGGCCCTTTGCGATTCACACAAAAAAAAATGGCGATGGGGACTTACGTAGTAGCAGCAACAGCAACATAACAGAGGTGGTTGATGGTGGTGACCAAGAGCAACTCTACGGTGGCAGGAGGTTGCCCGACAGCCTAGCGGTTGCTTCTTTTTGCTTATGTCGGCAGTGGTCATCGAAGGGGAAGATGGAAGAGGTAGGGCAGCAAGTTGGAGGGTTGCTTGGGGGCTGTTGTATCACCAGAAGAAAGGATAAGGGGTTGTGAAGTGGTGGTACACGATGGCAGAAGGTGGCAGTGGGGTGATGAGAAAAAGGATGGAAGGGAGTGAGGAAGGTCTGAGGTATGTTGGTGGAGTGGTTTTCGATCCAATGTGGGAGGTATAACGGTAGTGTGTGGTGTTGGAGAGAGAGAGAGAGAGAGAGATATTTCATTTTATTTTTTTATTTTGTTATTATAAATTATAAAAATAAATAGAAAATGCAAATTTTCTTTTTTATTTTTTCTTTTAATCAAAAAAAGTATTTAAATAGTAAAAAAAACTGAAAAAGAAAAAAATAAGGGTAAAATAGTCATTATGAAAAAAGTTTATGGAAAACTTGATCAAACTCACGAAAAAATAAAAAGTTTGGACCTCTGGTGCTAGTCCAAATCTTAAAGTGACAATTTTGAGGAAACCAAATTGACCATTTGTAGAGTTTGTCTATCCAAAAATTAGATAAGATTAATGAAATAATGTTTTAGATAAAATAAATAATAAAAAATTGTTTGTGTAAGGAAAAGTGTGATTGGGTGTCCATGGCTACTTAGGTAGCCCAAAGTAACGTGGTCATGCAACTTGGGTTACCAGGTAGCTTGGGTTGTCCAACATCTTGGACTCCCCCTCTCAAGTCCTAAAACTTTCAATTTTCTCTTATTCCTCTATTTTTCTTTTTTCATTTTTTGGACACACTTTTGATCCAATACACTTAAAATTTCAGGATGCTGTCTTTTACTCTCATTAATCGTTAGCATGATCATCTCAAGGGTTCCCCCTCCTAAACCATATTGTTTTTCATGGTAGGGATCAAACTTGCATTGTACAAAGTGTGGATTTTGCACCACCTAACTTATATTGGATCATGGTTTTAGTCCCATTTAATAGTCGTATAAGTTCGAATTACAATAAATGACCAGCACATTATAATCACCAACAATATGAAGATTTTTTGGATGACTTTATGACTATTTTCCATGATTTTTGTCCTCTCAAAATGTTAATTTCTTGTGGAATTTTGTTCACCATATTCGATCAAACCTTATAAGATCATTGGTTTACACTTGCGGTTCAATAATAGTTTTAGTAAATTACAATCGGTTCATATTTAGAGTTTTATAAACACTTTAAGAATTAGAAACACATTTAGTTGATATTTTTGTCGTTTGTATAGTTTTGGAACCTTATTGCTATTTTGCATTCATCTTGATCAATGTTCGAGTTTTAGATAAGTTGTTAAATTAAGGCTCGAGCCTACAAATGTCATAAGCAATATCCTACAAGGAATAAATATAATAATAAACTGAATCCTTGTTAACTTCAGTTAATCATTCTCTTTTGGTTGCAACATCAAAAGATACAAAAATCAAGATTTTACAAACATTGATCATAAGATTAATACAATATGCATCATATCTACATTGAGCTTGAGTAAGTTTTCGAAGCAAGCCACCTCTCAGCTAAAGCCATAGCTTCTTTTGGCTTGTATTGTGCCACTGAATGACCGGCACCCTGCAAGTATATAAATCAAAGAACTAAAATACACATTCAAGATAGACTTACTTGATTATGAATATAAAATACGAAGGAATTAAACATGCAAAAGCATAATGATTGTTTTATTTAAAATATCGATGATGACAATAATGTGTATCTTACTTTAACAGTGGCAAATGCCAAGGAGAATTCTTTTTGTGCATATGCCATTTCATATCTGGAATAAAACAATGAGATTAGTAAACATATAACTAAATTATAAAATACGCAAATAAATAAAGTCGATTCTCACCCTCCGACTTGATTGTTAACATAGAACGGCTTCCATGGGCTATCAATTTCTAGATTAAGAGCAACTATCCATTGCTCGATTCCCACATATGGAAATGTCATATCATGATCACCACTGTCAATAAAATGCCTTATGTTATGCATAATCTTTCACTATGGTCTAGTTAGGGAACAAAAAGGTTGAGAATATTGTTATGTTACCTAAAGATCAAAGCTCGACAACTTTTACTAACAAGTTTCTTGTGGTACGCAAAACTACTAAAGATATCATAAGCATAACAAAATGTATCATTTTTTCCTTCAAAGTAATGCATCGTCATGTTGAATAACTCCCATTTTTGAATCGTTCCCTGAACATAAATTATTGAACAAGTTTTGATTATATATAATCCCTAACTTATACCTCCTTCAAACAATATATAAATAACACACCTTGCGAACTTTAAGGGCTTGTTGCACAACCTCATCATTCATCCAATCTTCTCCAAAATTGTAATAGTTCTCCTAAAAGAGCAGCGAGAATATGAATATCATTAGTTTTAGGAATCAAATTCCTATGACTCAAGATCAACCATGGAAGTATAAGTTCTTGTATAGACAAAGGAGAGAGATACATTACTTGACAATATGGCTTCACATCTGATTTATTACAAAACGGATCCAATATATTTTCCATATTTAGTCCACTTGTGCACTACAATTCCTAAAATTAGATGGCTACATGTTTTATGAAATCAACATGGTTTTATAAAATCAATTTAGTCAACATACCTCCATGTATCTTTGAAGACTATCTCTGCATATCGAATTGACAATATTCGTGTTCACATAATTACCACCACAATTTCCTATTGCAGCCTACAAAATCAAATTATTATCACTATTATACAAATATAATTCATAATTTCATAGTAATTCTTACAAATGTCTAAAAATTACCTTATAAATGTCATCAGATATAAGTGCCATACGATGAGCATATTCAAATCTAGAATTGAAATCCATGAACTTATGGGTGAGAGGACTGCAAAGAATGTAACCCTATGTGCCAATTCAAAAAAAAAAGATTATTTTGTATCTTCAAATTAAATTAAAATATAAAGCTTTAAATTTCATGAGATTTCATGGATAATATACTTGAATATTCAATGAAGGTTGATCACCTCGTTCATTTTCTACAAACAATATTTTTTCAACATGTCACAACCCTTTTTACGCATGATGTGAAATAGAAAATCGATATATCACCAAAGAGAATCATGTACCTTTGTACACTTCCAAAGTAATGATAGGCGTTATAATTCCCATGTAAGAAGTTCCCGCTATGTACAATGGGTTTTTTAAAAACTTACGATGGTCGATAAGAAACTGTTGGATATCAACCCTGAACATATAAGATTGAAAGACTTAAAATCAATTTTAGATTAAAATAAGATATACCTTCCGAATAAAATCGTTAGCTTGCTTGACCAAAATGCTATCACTACTGATTGATGCTTCTTTTGTCATGGCATATGAGAATCCGACACCCGCAGGCATATCAACAAATATGATATTAGCTATCTACAACAAACCAACCCTACAAATTTTAGCCAATATATAAACATAAATTCTTACTCAGATTCAATATATAATAATATAATGGCAATGTGGTGAAACTTTATTAACCTTAGTCCATGAGTTTGGATTTAATGTGACTGTTATATTCTCCGGAGCATTGGCAAAGTTAAAACTAAGTGGACCTACAAGAAAGTAATTCATTAGAAAAAAAAAAAAAGTCAAAGTTGAAACTAAGTGTTAGCGGACTTGCAGAAAAAGTAATTCATTAACAGATTGACAATTTCAATAAAACACATTCTCATTTTTATAGGGTTAAATGTAGAATATTTTTACCAAAATGGAATGTTTTATAAACTTATTTACCAAAAAAGTATATTTTAAAAATATTTACCATTTAGGGTTTAAATGTAATACCAATTCAAATTCGAAAAAACCAAAACAAAACAAATAGAATAAGACCCTTGAAAGACACACACAACATATGACGTCTTTGAGATCGCGACAATCATCTTCTTCTCTTTCGACCACATCCGACGTCGGATAGTCGGATTCCAACCACAACAGACACCAAAAAGTCCGCTACGAGCATAGAAGACATTGACAAGTCTGCCTCCATCCTTGCTGCACCAAGAAAACCCTAACTTATTGGAAAATTATTCCTCGATTCCCACCAGCAGACGAAAAACAAGCCCAATTTCCTATAAGTCTTCATTTGCACCAGCTTTGTGATTTACTTCATTTGCTTCAGCCCTATTGTGATTTGCTACAACATTCAGATTTTATGCATTGTAATTGATTTTTTGTTTTGTTCCTATTTGCTAGATGGATGTTGTTACAGAGTTTTGTTATTAGGGTAGGACAATTCATGATGGTCAATATGCTATAAATTATAGTAAAACTCCAAAAAAGCAATCGATGCTACATCTTTTGAAAAACACCGCCACCACATCAACTTAACTTGCAGATATCCATCCGTAGGTATTGGAAATCTTGTAAAATACATCCCTCTTCTTACCAAAGATAATGATGATGTTAGAATCATGTTTTATGTGCTTGGTCTCCATCAAGAAGTAAGTAACATTGATCTATATTTAGAGATTGAAAACAATGTTCAAATTCGATACACATGGCGTCTAGGTATAAACATTTGTGTTTTACATTATTTACATGTTTCTACTTATTTTGAATGTGATAACTTAGTCTGTAATTTTTTATGTAGAAATCACAAATCTGTTATTCTAGAAGAGGAAATGAACAATAAATTACTATTACCTAATACGAGTCATGCTAATTTCATATAAGTCATGAAGCGTATTGGCTACAATCGTCATCTAGAAAATTGCTTCCTCATGAAGCGTATTGGCTACAATCGTCATCTAGAAAATTGCTTCCAAATTTAGAGTATTTACAGAATAATATGTTTAGAATTTTTATTTTTATTTATAAAAGTTAATAGCAAATAGTTAAAGAAAATGTAAAAAAGAATATTTAAAAAACAGTAAAAATTAAAGAAAAATAGTTAAACATATTAAAAAAATATGAAAACAATGTTTTGGTAAATATTAAAACAATAGCTGAAATTTTTTTAAAAGTTCAAAAAAAATATTATTTTGATAAATATTTTTGATAATTATATCTTTTTAGTAAACATGTTTGAAAGTAGACCTATTTTATAAATATTTTTTTCAAACTCACTTATTTTGTAAAAAAGTAGTCAAATTTACAATACCTTGTTTTAATTTCTAATTTAAATAATAAATAAAGTTTGAAATCATTAAACAAAATCGACAACTTTATAAAAATAAGCAATTTTATTATCTTTTTTACAATGTGACAACCAACCTAGTGATACAGAGGAGAACACAAACTTCTGGAACGAAGCATGGTTGGGCATGTTACCATTATCCATTCGATTCCCGAACCTCTTCAAGCTTGAAAAGCGTAAATCAGCACATATTTATGAACGGAGAAACTATTACGGTTTTGCTGCGGACTGGAAAAGGACCCCTTCGCGTCCCCGATTGAGATTGCGGAACTTGAAGTACTTAAGGAAATTATTAACTCATTTTCCTTCTTGAATGTTAAGGACTCGTGGAAATTCTCTTTGGCTACAGATGGTGTATTTAGAGTGAATATCCGTAGGGATCAAATCGATTCTGTTATTACTGATGTATCCATAAAAAGAATGGAATGGAATAGCATGGTTCCAGTTAAAGTGTTTGTCTTTATATGGAGAGCTTGTTTTGGACGAATTCTGACTGTTAATGCCTTATCTCATAGAGGAATAAACACCAACTCAACTATATGCTCAATGTGCTCGAGTCAGGAGGAAACAACAGACCATTTGTTAGTGGATTATATGTTTGCCCGCAACACCTTTAAATAGATATCGAAATGGTGTGGAGTAGATATTCAGCGCTTCTGTACTGTGGCGGATGTTATTAGTGTTGGGGAAAACGAAATAGAGTTATTGGAAATCTGGATTATAAACAGGAATCGCGTTAACATTTTCCGTGTTTGATATTTTGACCCTATATTCCTTGGGTATCACGAAATCCAAACTTGAGATAATTCATGATGCAGCAATTCCGATTTAAGGCACAAAATCAGAACAATTGAAGAAAATGAAGTGAAAGAACGTTCTGTGTTTTCTTATGTGTTTCAATAGTTGTTTTCACAGGTTTATCCAATCAACGGATAAGTCACAGCAGTTTCTATCTTTTAAGAATTACAAATCAGACCTTGTAATGTCTTTTCACAAGGACCCCGACTTGACACAATAGATTAGGGTTCAGTACTAATAATATTTAGTAAATACAAGTGTGCACTCCCGCACCTCCTAACTTATATTATAATTAAAACATTATTCTTAAAACACTTGTTAATTTCATTACACTAAAATATATTTGATGATAAAATCACCAACAATTAGTTTTGCATCTCAATGGGGTAATTGCCCTAAGAAGAGGAAAATACTCATAAGCATAGTATATGGTGTAGTTTGGTATATTTGACTTGCGAGAAATAACATGATATTCAATAAAGTTCCTTCAAAACCTTTAACAAATAACATGATATTCAATAAAGTTCCTTCAAAACCTTTAACAACCGCGGAGTACCATGCGATGACTTTGATCTATGGTTGGGTCAAGTATAGGGACAAAATCGGGAATTGTAATCGGGTGAGTTGGTGTAATAATCATTTTAGTACTTTGTAGTTTTTTAGTCAAGAGGTGGTATATCCCCCTATCCCCCTATACTGCATGATGTATTAGACTTTGGTTTGTGGCTTGTCTGGCACCTTGCCTCGTTTGCCTTAATAAATTTCTCGTCGGTTAAAAAAAATTATAAATTTTATAATCATTACAGCGATCATTAATATCGAAATAAACATTACGACCGTAGAAAACAAAGCTTCACAATAGTTATATAATTTTGGGCCATATCTGGAAAGAGGGATGTTTCAAATTCAGTCTTAGAAGTCATTAATTATTAATTATACAAAAGAGAAGGTTATAACTTATATTGTTTTCAAACTAAAACTGAAATATTGTATTCTTTTTTCTTACAAATAGAATATCTATAGCTAGTTGTATGATTAATTGATTAGTGTATGCTTCTGGACTTACTTCATCGTCCACGCGTCGACACTTACTCATGCATTGATGCCAGCATGGCACCGTGCGGTGGGAGCGGAGCCCACTAATCAACTTAAATAAAACTATACCATAATATAAAGAATGCATTACTTCGTATGCAGTGTCATAATAATTTCTAATTTTTTATCACTACAAATTATGATCCTTTTTAAAGATATATAGTATCGTTATTTCAGTATTATATCTTAAACTCTTAATGTTATTGTCGTTCAAATTAGATCGATATTTAAATATATAAAATCTTTATTTTATAAATTAGTTTTTATTACCGCAGGTCTTTTAAGAATTTATAAATATGTTTTCATTTAATTATTCATTAACACCAAAGCAATCAAGGATTATATTAAGTAAAAACTACAAGGTTTGATATCTATAAAGTATATATAAACAGGGTGCATGGTGTAAAAATGTGTAAAGATAACTCGCTGCAACTGTCCAACTGTTGTTTGGCGGTTTATTTTGGAATTTAACGTTGCAGATGAAGGTTTCTATATATAAACAGGTATACCTAGTCTCTTTGAGATTAAAAAATAAAAAAAAAATCCTATGCATGAACAAAAACATAATAGATCATACCGATTTGATAGAAGAAAGTAATGACAGCAGAACAGCCAGGACCTCCGGCGAGATAAAACAAAAGCGGGTCTTCTTCCGGATTTCGTTCTGATTCAACAAAGTAGTAGAAAAACTGTGCTTCCTTCTCTCCTATTCCCACATAACTTCCATACAATACAACAATGTTTTAATTAGAATAAAACGTGAACGAATCTGTGTTAATTTCTCTAAAGCACCATGTTTTCCGATGAACTAATAACCTCTGTTATAGCTAAGAAGTGTAAATCGATGATTTTCAATATGATATGAAACCAGTTTTTTCATAAAGGTTGAGATGACGATACCCCGTTTCGAGCTTGAATGGAAGTTGACCAGGATATCCAGGAAGGGTTTTAACGATTGATTTTGAATGCGATAGAGTTATGAAGATCGATTCAAGTGTTAGAAGAAGGAGCAGGAGCGAGGAAAGGGAAAGGGTCTTTGATACATACTCCATTTTTACCTGTCACTTGGAAATTTGGGTGATCCCACAGTTGGCTACTATAAATAGAAGTCTTCCACCATGGTTCTTTTGAAAATATTAAACCGTTTAACTAAAATTATCACATCCGTCTTATAAGGATTTTTTAGAAAATAATACTTGACAAAAATCATAATATAATAAGTCATAAATTAATTCTACCAAGTGTTTTTCAACACATACACATTAACCTTAAAATCACGATCAAAAAGTCTTTTGTGGTATTAAAAAAACTTTGAATAATATCCAAAAACTCTATCTTACATAAAATGTTCAAAATCAAGAAATCTTCGTGAATTTTGTCCAAAAAACCGCTATTCCCTTTTAACTTTTGTTTTCCATTTTTATATTTATGTTAATACTTTTTTAATTTGAAAAAAAAATAAAAAAGAAATTAACTACCCATCTCTCTCTCTCTCTCTCTCTCTCTCTCTCTCTCTCTCTCTCTCTCTCTCTCTCTCTCTCTCTCTCTCTCCTCACCCTAAACCTGCAAATCCAACCTACAACACAAAAATACTTTGGTTATAATCCTTCTTCCTCACCATGGAAGTTGCTGATTTTATTTTATTTATCACAAATTCTAAGATCTTAAACAAATCGATCAAGGCGGATCAAAACACAATCAGAACTATTTCCTCTTTAATACTATTTATGTTCTCCAAAAGAAAGAAACCCCAGATATTGATAATATCTGAATCAAAGATACATAACTAAAAGCACCCACCAATTGAATTGGTCAAATACTATAATATTTGAGGAAGCATCAACTTCTAAATGGGTTTGGTATGTGGTATCCTTTCGAACATCATCAATCTAGATTTCTTCGAGAGTGAATCTATTCAGTATCGAGGTTTCTTTGAAATCCATTTGTGGATAAGATAATAGGGTGGTGGGTTGTTGAAAGGGAATCGAGTGTTATTGAATATCAATTTGGATTTCTCCAATATCGATGATCAAAAGTTCTATGGATTCTCTTCAAGTTGCCTATAATGACAAAGGAGTTGTTTTTGCATAAGCAATCATGGATATCACTTCTCAACACTTTATGCAACACCCCCCTCTAGCACGTATCACAATATTGTCCGCTTTGGGCTCCCGACGCGTAAACTTCCCAAGGAATCGCCCATTCCTGAATTGCTCTCGCTCGGGCATGCTTGACTGCATAGTTCTTATGAGATCTGCTGCCTTCACGATTTTAAAACACATTGTGAGAGAGAGAGAGAGAGGGAGAGAGAGAGAGAGAGAGAGAGAGAGAGAGAGAGAGAGCAATGATGAATTACATTCAGGGACCGAACCATCAAACATACAAATTAAATTACTCTAGCAAATGGTTTGAGCTTCTGATTAATTGCAATTAAAGGAAAAACCAACAAATTGATTACTAAATCATTGTTCAATTACAAATATTGAAACTAATGTACTGCTCATGACATAAATTAAGAATAATCTTGCATTTGATTGATACATTGTTTTTTTTTTTTCTTATTTATTTCACAGAAGCATGACTGGACTTTTGAAACTCGTTTTTCATGAAGATTAATAGAAACACTTCTGATTACTCACAATTAAAAGGAAACCCAACAAAATGATTACTCAATCATTGTGCAATTATAGAGATTGAAACTAATGTATGGCCTATTATATAGATTAAAAAAAATCGTATGCATTTGGTTGATGCATTTTTTTCTCAAAGACGCATGACTGAACTTTTCAAGTTCTATTTTTCATGAAGATCAATATAAACGTTTCTGATTACAATTAAAAGAAATTACTCACAATTAAAGGAAAAACAAAAAAAATGATTACTCCATCATTGTTCGGTAATAGAGATTGAAACTAACGTATTGCCGACTACAAAGATTAAAACAGGGCCATGGCGGTGGCGATGAACTGCACAATACAAATGAAATTCGACATATGAAATCTTAATTTGACGTAAAACAAGTTGATATTAGTTATATAAGTTGTGATGACGTGCCTAAGCCAGCACGGAAGAGTCACGCCCGGCCGAGGAACATAGCGTACTGGCCAAGCCAAGCTAAGCGGGCTCAGCGCCCCTAAGTGCAGGGCACCCCGGTGAAAGGCTCGCGCCCGCCAGAGACGCTCCCGGCGTCAAGACAAAAGATACGGTCAAGTAACAAGGCAAATGTTCACGGCATTACCGTTGAAGCCAATGAAAGTACTCTGATAGAAAGAGGCGCACAACCCTCCAATCAACGCCTTTGAACTTGTCCCCTACAAAGCGGTTCTGTGCATACGGACGAGCAGGGTCGCTAAGTATAAAAGGGCACGGTCAGGAGCCCTAAAGGTAAGCACTCTCTTCTCAAGAGCATATTACTTAACACTCTCAGTTCTATCTAACTTGATCGTCGGAGCGTTCTTCCGGGAGCCTCCTCCCGGAAAGCGGCTGTCGATTGTTCTTTCTTGTGACCTTGCAGATACCATCAAACACCATACGAAAAAGTAAGAAAAGGAGTGAAAGCAAGGTCACATCAAGTTGCATAAGATCATTCAGAAGCATACTTGAAATGAAATATAATCTCTAAAATTTATGCATGTGTTAAATGCATAGTTATAATAATAAAGTTATGGTTGCTGACTAAAATTAAAAATCTTTCAGCTACTTCAGATGGTCAAACACAAAAATTGCAAGATTTGCATTTCCACGAGTTACAATCACTCGAATCACATATATGTTTTTCACATATTTGCTAATAAATTAACATGTTCCTAATTTTATTAATTTTAGCCCCTCGTCTAATATTAGATTATGGACCAGAAGAAGAAAAAGGTAGTCAAGTTTAAATTATATTATATATTAAAAAAAATTATACTATATATTAAAACAAATTGGTTTAGGAATAGTATACTTTTGGAGTTTATACTTTCACCACAAAAAAAAATATATTTCACACTTTGGGGTTGTTTGTTTACCTTTTAATAGAAAAATTAAAAGACAATCTCTTAAAAGTTCAGATGTATGGTGTTTGATAGCATCTTAATTTTTTGCTTCTTAAATTATAAACACCTCTTAATTTCTCAGACATGTGATTGTATCTGAAAAATAAGGACACACGTGTTTCCTGTTTTACCCACGACGTATTCTCTTCTATTTCACGACACAACCTCTTTTTTCCCTCCCAACCTGTAACGCCTGTAGATCCGGGTTGAAAACTCTATATGCTCACCATGCTCCCAAGTCTAACTCACTCAGTTTTCTTTGTATCGCAGGTATCGATACGAAGATATATTTCACGAAGAGATTAAAGGAGATGTAAAATCTTTAGTGTAAATGATGTAAGTTCTGTTTATGCTTATGTGTTAGTATCGGAACATGACATCCCGAGATTTTCTTACATAATAAAAATACATTTCTTTAAAGAAATGCTTTGATAAATCTTTATCATATTTTGGGAATAAATTCCGCAACTGTTTTCTTTAAACGATTACTTTGATTTTAAAACAAAGCATAAACAAATCTATTTTTTCTGGCCGTGAAATTGGGGATGTCACACAACCATCAACGATGCCTCTCCTCCACTCCAATCTGTTGTAGCTCTGATCTCCTCTATTGCCGCTGCCATCGGCTTTGCCTGTGGCGCCTTCGTCTCCGGCTTCAGCTGAATCGCCTCCAACATCTTCTTCAGATTTGCCCTTGATATTTCAACCCCATTTTCCCTTTTCTCTTTCAATACACATGACGTTCCCCTCACCCACTCCATCTCTAATCTGGAACCAGCCTACTGACTCTTTCGCCAGTGTCGCCGTCGCCACCGGAAGCCTCATCGACAACATAACTCTTGGTAATTTTTCCCCTAAAACTCAATTATTTTGGTTCAATCCCATTCCCAAACAAGCATTCAAGCACGATGGTCAAAGTAAGCATTTTTGTGGATCCATACAAATTAATTTTATCCTCGATTGGTGTCGCTCTCTCCATCAAATATTTGGCTTGATTTTGTTGATCACGCCCCTTATGTTGTAACCCATATTTATCAAAGTGATTGTTACTTGTTAGGTTATATTTCAGTTTTGATATGATGTGGTTTGTGGGTTCAAATAAAGTCAAAGTTAGGGTTTTTGGATTCAAATAAAGTCAAAGTTACAACTTGGTGGTCGATTTCCCAGTGGAGATGTTGCCCCTGGTCATGGTTTATGTAGTTGGTTTTGGAGGTGGATTTCATAATTGTTGCATGTTGTGTGCTTCTACAAATTTTGTTGATTTAAAACATTTCATACTTGAAATATTCTTCTCAAGATATTATATATCATCTCATTTGTCAAAGAAAACGTTGTTGATAGAGTTTTTCAAGAAAATTTATGGTGGTGACTATGGTGGTGCATATGGGAACTCTGGTTATGGTAATGCCGATGTCTGTTGATAAAGTTCTTCCAATTATAGCATTTTGTAGTTATGTATATAGTTGTATGTGTTTTCATATGTGTAGGATTTTGTAGGGTGTTTGGATTTTATAAGGTGTTTGTATTTGAATTTTGTAGGGTGTTTGGATTTTATATGCTGTTTATATTTTTTTATAATTATTTAAGAAGTTGGTTAAATTATTTTATAAAATAGAATTACAGAATTTAGCAAAAAATAATACAGAAGAGTAAAATGATCATTTTCATTATTCAACACAACAATTAAGAGGTTCCGGCCAAACAACTTGTTAAAAATTCAAATCTTAAAAATTCAAATTCTCTTATAAATTCAAACATCTTAAAATTTAAGATCTTAAAAATTCAAATCCTTCCAAACACGCATTTTGTCTACAAAAATAACTTTTAACAATAAGCTTAGAATAATTTCAGATTTGATCCTTTTGTATATGGAGTATTCACTTTGGCCACGACACTTTCGCATGTTGACAAGTTTAGTCTTTATGTACAAAACAAATTATACTATACTATATATTAAAATAATTTGGCTTAGGAATAATATACTTTTGGAGTTTCATACTTTCACCACAAAAGAT